AGGGTGTGTCAGGCAGGGGTGAGGGCATGGAGGGGGATGCAGAGGCCTGCACCCTGGAATGTCCTTTCACTCCCTGAGGTTTTGTTCTCCTGATCCCTGAGTACATCCCAGAACACGGTGGGGCCCTAGCAGGGGAGAGGTAGGGAAGTATGTGTTGTTCCTCTGGGGACCTTGTTAGGCAAATCAGATTAGGGGCCAGGCTTTCAGTGGTGGGTGCGAGCGTGGGAGTGATGAGTGTGCAGGTGTGTGTGGGAAGAGCGATGGGGATGGGGTCAGGCCCAACCACCATGAAGACCTGAACTGTGCATCCACCCATCCCAGCAGCCTCCCTGAGTGAGTGCCTTCAGGGTGCAGGTCCTGTTTTACACAGGGAAGTGAATCAGAGTGGGTCACTGCCTTGCCTTAGAGAGGTCACACTTCTTCTCTTTCTTCTTTTTTTTTTTTTTAATTTGTGACAGAGTCTCACTCTGTTGCCCAGGCTGGAGCGCAGTGGTGTCACCTTGGCTCACTGCAACCTCTGCCTCCCAGGTTTGAGCAATTTTCCTGCCTCAGCCTCCTGGGTAGGGTAGCTGGGATGATAGGCACGCATTACTATGCCTGGCTAATTGTTGTATTTTAGTTTCACCATATTGGCCAGGCTGGTCCCAGTCTCCTGGCCTCAAACGATCTGCCCGCCTCAGCCTCCCAAAGTGCTGTGACTACGGGCATAAGCCACCACACCGGGCGAAAGGTCACACTTCATGCCACGTGGGTGGCAGCCACTCAGACAGCACCCCAGCTGGCGCTGGGAGTGAGGGGTGCTCAGCGTCCTAGGAAGGCAGAGGGCTGCATGAGAGGTTCGGGGAGGAAGGACTGGAGGAGGGTTTGAGATTTTCACCTGAGCAGCTGGGTGGATGGAGGGGCTGTTTACAGAGAATCAGAAGAATGTGGATGAGCAGGTTAGGACACTAATATAGCACTCTGTTTTGGCCCACAGAAAATTTGAGATGCTTCCCTGTGTCCAGCTGGGGCTTTGGGAAAGGTCAGGGCTGGGCATCTGACTGGGATGGATGTCTCTGGCAGGCAGCAGAGCATGTGGATGGTTTGTGAAGCCCAGAAGGGCATGAGATTTCCTGTGGCAGTGCCCACTGCAAATGGAAGGGCATTTGGCCTGAGCCCAGACATATACAAGTTGGGCAGAGAAGGGGGTGGGTCCCCGGGACCCACCGAGGAGCAGCTATGGAAGTACAGGGAAACCAAGGGTGTGGGGGCACATGAAGCAGGAAGCTCAAATAAGATGAGGAAAGACGTTTTAAAGACGATCAGGGCTAGGGACAGTGGTTCATGCCTGTAATCCCAACACTTTGGGAGGCTGAGATGAGAGGATAGCTTGGGACCAGAAGTTTGAGACCAGCCTGGGCAACATAGGGAGACCCCATTTCTATAAATAAATAAATACCATTGGTACTTGGCATTTCAGGCGGGGAACAGCAAACACATGAAAGCTCTGAGGCTGGAAAGGGAAGTG